GAAATACCTCCCTTTCCCCTATTTTACTTCTGCGTCCAACAACCCGCATATGCGAGCTCACAGGTGCGGTGGATTCCTCGCACATGCGAATCCAGCCAACCTCACTTCCCTCCGCTTCTGTGACCCCTTTGGATGCTTCTGTGAGCTCACACCTGCGGCCCTTTCCACTCAGGTGCGATTGTACCAGATCTCAGGTGCCTCATCACTTTTTTCAAGACCAAACTCGATCCGTTTCCAATCCGATTCGCACTCGAGGCCTCCAGGACCTCATTCGGACATACCAACACATCCCAAAACATGACACAAACTTAGTCGAAGCCTCAAATTACACCAAACATCATCAAAACTATGAATCAATGATTGAAACATTTCTTTAAACTTTCAAACATTCAAACTTCGATGAACACGTCCGAATTACACTTAAATATTCCGAAATAATGCCAAACTTTACGTGCAATTCACAAATCACGATATGAACCTATTCTAAGGTTCAAAACCCCAAACAGATATCGACAACATCAAAATTCATTTCAAATCAAACTTAAGAAATCCTTGAACTTTAAAAATGCCAACATTCCATAATAAGTGCCGAAATGCTCCTGGGCCACCCGATACTCGACCCGAACATGCGCCCAAGTCTGAAATCATCATATGAAACCTATTGGAACCTTTATATCCCGATTTCGAGGTTGTTTAATCAAAATCAAACCCTGGTAAACTCTTTCATTTTAAAGCTTCGGAATAGAGAATTTTCCTTCCGAGACAACTTCGAACTTCCCGAAATTCGATTACGACTACGCGTACAAGTTATAAAATACGAAGTGAAGCTACTCAAGGCCTCAAACCGCCGAAAGACGCGCTAGAGCTTAAAACGACCGATAGAGTCATTATAGTTTTTGGCTTTTCACGCGTATTTGGGAGCCATTTCTTTCCACCTTTGGGTCTCTGGTGTAATTATCTCCAGAATCTTTTGTACTTATTGGGCCAAGTTTTGAACCCGTGGTGGTTTCCAATGAGTAGCTAGAACAAAGAAAATCAAAAGTTAACAAAAGGATTTCTTTTTACATGGAAAAGAAATAGATATCCGAGGACATACGGAAAAGATTCCACGATTTGGAAAAAGCTGGTTCTGTGACCAGGATGATATCCTTAGTAGCAATAACAACGAATCCTTCCATCCATCCATGGTTGTTGTCATCTCAACATTGATAAGGAGGGCATGCTGATCACGTTTTCTAAGTTTCAGCACACCCCCACAAAAAATCTGTGGGGAGTATAGTTTTATTACATGTGCGAGAGTTAGGGTTTCCCCATTCTCAAAACATAATTGGCGAAGGCAAGCCACCGTGTGTCATGCAGATGGGCCTATTTGTGCCAAGCAAACTTGGTACCAGAAACAAAACTCTAGGATTAGTGGGTCAATGCCTTCACCCACTCTCAAAGCGAAAGGGCCCAAAGTAAAAGGGTCTGTATAGATATACATGAACTCTGGTTTGGAGAAGGTGACCTTTTCTCTCCATTAGGGGTGAGAATTTTGACATTGTTCCAATAGCATTCCTCCTTCACGACACGAATGCTGGGAGGACGAATGGAAGAAGGGTACCTACGAATATGCTAGAATCTATCACTTTTGGAATTTGTAGGTTCTTGTTGTTCTTGAAGGTTAAATTTGTAATAAGTTTAAGAGGTATGATGGAGTTAACGGTATGAGGTTCATATTCAACGTCAACTCCCTTTGTTTTGGTTTTCTTTTGGCCACCTCCGAAGAAAAGGCCTGAGTTTTCGAGGGGGGTGGGGTATTGTTTAAAGATATGTTTACCAAGAAAAATTTATCTGAGAAGGTTGAATGTTGCAGGAGGATTCTAAAGAGATTCAAAGAAGAAGAAAGAGTTGTGAAGGTAAAGAGTAAAAACAATGAGTAGTGGAAAAGTTATAGAAGGCAAAAATCGTGGTCATGATTACCTGAAAAACTGACGGAAATATTTGCTGAATCACAGAGCAACACGTGTTCGAGTCATTAAATACGAGAAGACGTGCGTTCTTTCATGTGTTAGAGGTCATTCAGGAAATTTTCCGCCAAGAAAGAAACTCTTATCTACTTTTCGGTAACGCTGAGTTGCATCATCGAAAAGTAAGGATATTATATGTATGTGGTAAAATTAAATTGGCTAGTGACAATTCAGCGAATGACGAAGTGACACGTGGAACTAGAGACAGGTGGGACGTGAGTCAACAAACAACTAGCACTAGCGTAAGCATGCAACCGGTGCTGAACGAATCCCGAAAACAGAGTAGCCGATAACAAAGATTCGAAATATTGTCATCAGATATCATTCAATGAGCAGTCGTGATAGAGAATATATGCATTTATAGCCAACTATTATGTAACCATCAATGATGATTTTATTCTCATTCAAGAGGAGCTTGATTTGGGGATCTTGTCTCCCCAAATAAAGCTATAAATAGGGGAATTTGGATCATTGGTAGACACGAAACATTCTATCACAAAAGCTACATTCTGCTCTCATTTTATAACACTTTTCTCGGTCTTTATCCTTAAATATTGCTCATACTTTTGCCACCGGAGAGCTAAGTTCATAGTGAGGCTTGTATTTTCTTTTATTTCATTTCACAATCTTATTTTGTTCTTAGTTATTAATATCTTTGGGTCAAATCGATTTACTTATTTATAGATCATGCTATAAATTCAACTATACCGTTCTACGGGTAAATATTAATATATTATATTTTAGATCCAAAAACGAGAGGAAGTTTTTCAAAGAAGGGAAAAAGAAGCAAGAGAGAAAAAGACTTAAAAGAAGGACAAATGACTTTAAATGAGTTGTCAATAATAACAGAGCTTAAGGAATCATCTGATAGAGCTAGCTAGGTCTTGAATGGGCCTTTTCTTGGTTTAAAGTACAACAAAGCTATTAAAGGTATAAATGTGGCTGTTTCTTTTGAGTGCTTTTATAGTTGAGAAAGAGGTAAGGTATTAGCAAAAGAGAAAAGCCCATCATTTCCTTATTCTTCTGGGCCACATAGAGGCTTAGAGCAAAACGTTATTATTTTATTTGCACAGTATGAGTTTTGGGCCACTCGTTGAGTTCTGTCCATGTTAGTTAAAGGGAGAAATTCAAAAATAGTCAAATTTATAAGTGGCCATTTAAAAATAGCCATAATTTTAAAAATAATCGAAATTTAGTCACTATTCATGTAAAGATAAATTTGAAGAAAATATTGTTCAAAATCTGAAAAAATATTTCAGTATAATATACTGGAATTCCAATATAATATTCTGGAACTCCAGTATAATATACCAGTCCAGCATAATATACTGGAGATTGGGGCGTCGGCGCTCCAATCTCCAGTATATTATAGTGGAACTTTCCGCATGTTGGAGTTTCAGCATAATATGCTGGAAGTTCATACACAGGTGCACCGATCTCCAGTATATTATGCTGGACTGGTATAATATACTGGAATTCCAATATAATATTCTGGAACTCCAGTATATTATAGTGGAACTTTCCGCATGTTGGAGTTTCAGCATAATATGCTGGAAGTTCATACACAGGTGCACCGATCTCCAGTATATTATGCTGGAACTTTTCGTGTTGCAGCAAAATAGTGGCTGTTTTTCAATAACTTTGCAAATGCTGACTATTTTTAAATGACCAATCCAAAAACTGGCTAGCCCGTGCTATTTTTATTTAGTTAAATGGACTAAATTTCGCTTTTAAAATTATTGGTTGATCTTTGCAAATGTTATTTCAAAAATTTGAAATAATGTACGTGTCCAAATAAATTCCCCAGCACTAGTACTAATTTGCATGCAATAGTACTGTACAGCAGATGTGTGTTCTGATGTTCAGATGAAGTTTCCTTCCCCTTCCTTTTAAAGTAAGATTCTACATTCACATAGTTTCAAAGAAGGAGCAATCAGTTAGGTAGCGGTGAACGTGCATAAGCGTGATATCAGGCAATTTCGATCTTGTACAAGAACTGTCACATTACTAGTGATTACTTTAAGTACTCCTAAGATTTAGAATGTGATAAAATTCAAGTATGCTGAAATACTTACGTGAATTTGTTTTTAAGGAGATTTATCCATCACAAAGATGTATAGAGGAGATGGAAACAAATCTCATGTATTCAGTTTTCAGTCAATCCTGATCTTAGACCACGATGTTACCCATTCGAAGAGACCACATGTCCCTAATTTTTTGATTTAACCTATTTGACTTCAAGATGAGTTCAACGTAACTAATATACCATATTATATAGTACAAAGAATCGAACCCCGATATATATTAAAAAGATGGACAATCGAAGAAACAATTTCATATTTTGCTTGATGTCAAACTAGGATACGTGGTGGAAAAATAGATGATCTAGTTTCTTTCTTCCAATTCCAAATAGTTTGTCTTCGATTGAGATATAGAAAGGAGGAAGAGATCTGTTCTTTGAGCTAAGAAAGAAAGAGTAGAGAGCAAAAAGAGAAAGAAAGGAAAGCTCTGGTTACATCTCAATGTACACGTGTGTAACCCTTACATATATAACCCCTATTCTAACTTCCTCTAACAATATATATAACAAACCATTAGTGCTAAACTAATACTAATCAATTATGTACAAATATCATTGCTTATGTACAACTTCATACTACACATGTTGATTTCAACACTCACCCTCAAGTTGGGTGATAAAAAATATTTATCATACCCATCTTGCTAACCATTTCACTGTGCAGCTGCTTCCCAAGTGCCTTGGCCAATATGTCTGCTATCTGCTCCTTACTGGCACATTAGCTATTTCTATCATTCCTGCTTGCAACTTTCTCTAATAAAATGAGTCAATTTTTATATGCTTTGTACGTTCATGATACATAGGATTAGATGTAATATGTAGTGCTACTTTATTGTCATAGTATAACTCCATGGGCAAATCAACCTTCATACCTATCTCTTCAAGTAATCCATGTAACCATACCAATTCTACTACAGTTGTGGCCATAGTGCTCTTGTATTCTGCTTCTGCTGAGCTTCTTGAAATTGTACTCTGCTCTTGGATTTCCAGGAAATCATTGAATCTCCAAGTTTTATGCAATAGTCTATTACTGATTTTGTGGTTACTGGGCATGATGCCCAATCAACATCACAAAATGCCATAACCTTGCCACTCTGTTTGCTACTCATCAGAAGACCTTTCCCTGGGCTATTTTTCACATATTTTACTACTCTTAGGGTTGCTTCATAGTGAGATTGCTTTGGTGCATTCATGAATTGACTTAGATTCTGAACTGCAAAAGAGATATCTAGTCTTGTGATTGCCAGATATAGAAGTCTGCCAATTAACCTCTGGTATACTCTTATGTCTGCAAGTTTATGATCATTCTCTTGTATCCCAAATAATTTTTCATATTCCACACTAATCAGCTTCACATTTTGATCCAGTGGAAATGTAATTGGTCTTGCTCCCCCCTACGCCATATTCTGAGATAAACTCTAAGGCATATTTCCTTTGAGTGTGATCTTGCAAACTCAATACCAAGAAAAAATTTGAGCTCTCTTAAATCTTTCATTTTGAAATTACCATTCAGAATCCTTTTGACATCTTGTATTAGATCATTGTCACTTCCTGTAATTAGGAGATCATCTACGTATACTAATATGATTACTATATCCCTACCACTCTTTTTGGTAAATAAGGAATAGTCTAGTTTGCTTTGGCTAAAACCAGAGTCTACAAGGGTTGAAGTCAGCTTCAGGTTCCATTGCCTCCTGGCCTGCTTCAGACCATATAGGGACTTGAATAGTCTACACACTCTAGTCTTCCTCTGACTACCAAAGCCCTGTGGTAAGGACATGTAGACCTCCTCTGAAAGATCAATGTTACATCCCGTAAGTTTAACAACCTTGATACCGTTATATATATATTTGATATGGTATTTTGAGTGGAACATTTTCGTAAAGAAAAAAAAACGGTTTGAAAAATATGATATTATATAGTTATTAATATAACTACTTTCGAATATATTTTAAATTATACTCATAATATAAGAAAGTTTATGAGATTTTCTTTATTGTAAAGATAGACATTATTTTCGCACAAGCAAAGACGGTTATCTTTTTACCATTTTAAGAATTAAGCGTACCAAATTTTTTACTCTTTATATGAGATTAGGAAAATTAAAAGTTGAGAAATTATATGAATTTTTACATGGATGTTTTAATGAAACAATAGTGTATGAATTTATTTTACATGGTACCACATGATCGTAATAGTATGGCGTATAAAGTGTATTGAAAATGCACAGAATTTTAAGTAATTTGAGACAATTTTTAATTATACGGATAATTAGTAATTGTCTAAAATATTTTGGATAAATTTTGAACTTTAACGTGGCAGCAATACATGGTATATTTGATGACTCTTAAATGCAATTGAAAGGTGGCAACTAACGTGAGCCACACCTATTCAAATACTAAAAGGTTTGTGACCATTTCAAGAATGTTGAAAAGCTTTAGCTTCTCTTAAAAATCTCATGAAGATTCTTGCATTAGTATTGGGAATTGTGTCAACACTTAGAATGTCCAAGAATACAAAGAACGTTATATTAATTTGATTGAAAATAGTTATATAAATTGATATAGAGTGCTTACATTTATTTTTCCTTTTCTTTTTTTGTCTCTTACTAATTTAAGGGGTTTCTTGGAGACTTGTATATCCGTGTAAGGCTAAATGTGAGATTCAAAGAACCTTAAAATTTTTAGAATCCCTAAATTTGTAATGCAAGATAGATTATTTAGTATGGAGATGGAATGAGTCTGAAGAAAGCGGCTTAGATAAAAAGGATTCATGTTCCGTCAGTCAAATGCAATTAGCATTGGAATTAAATGTGGCTGAATAGATAGGATGCATAGATGCAGAGGATACATATAGCCTACCTCCATAACTTTGGGAATGAGGCGTGTAGTTGTGTAATTGACTAATTTAGTGTTTGAGTATGACCTCCGCAGATATGTGATTTTTGACCCTCCCAAGATTTTTTATATTTTAGCGTAAAATATTTAATTTAGGCTTAATATAGCTATTTCAATTCATTTTTATTTTTTTACTTTATTTTATCATAAAAAAATAAAAATTACAAAAAATAGTTTCATTAATATTTTATAGTCATTTTTAATCTTGAAAAAATACCAAAAAACAGTTTTGTTTTAACGGGCAGTCTTATTTTAATAATTATTTTTATTTAAGTAGGGTTAATTAATATTTTTTTTGTAATATTTCTATATGGATAAATTTTTAGTTAATAAAGCTAATTTTAAGCAAAACTAGTCAGAAAGGCCCATAATTCCCAGACACATACCCCTAGCCTAAAAAAATCCTATAAAGCAAACGACACTCTATACCTACACGAAGATCCCTACACACACTAATCAGCGGTTCCTATGAAGAAAAGCTAATGCCTAAGAGCTGAAAAATACAGAAAGGAAAAAGCCTAGAACCCAAAGGACATACAACGTCGCAATACACATACGAACCCCTCCCCCTGAACATTCTTCTTCTCCATTTCCAGGCAACAGACCTAAGCTTCAGCCATTACCACCAAAATCCTAAAGAACACCAAGCCTTGACCCACCTTTCCGTCTCTTAACAAAAACAAGTTTCATCTCCCTCAAAAAATGGCAGTAAAATCCATTAAAAACAAATCCAAATCCAGCCACAAATGCCAACGAACCAACACCCTTTTGGCAGCAAATTTCATCTAAAAATCAGGTCCAAAATCACCCAAAACCTACAGCTGAAGTCACTCTAAAAATGCAGCAAAAACAGTCATCTAAAGCACCATGTTCATCAGCAAAAATCAGCTCTTGGAACCAGCCTTTAACGGTCACAAAGACCAGCTGAAATTCCCACAAAAATAGGTGAAAAGCAACATTAAAATAACCCCGAACCCAGCTAAAAAAGACCATAAAAATTTGCTGAAATTTCACTACTCACCTAGCTCCTTTAACACCCGAAATTGTCGTCCAAACCGAGTCGATGCAGTGAAGTTTTCGTTCGAGGTTGCTGGTGCGATTCACGATTTTTTTGCAAGTTTTGTCGTGGTCTTGAGCAATCTTCGGAGTTTTGTTTCCTCCTCAATAAATTGAAAAGGAGGAGCTGATTTATTAAGGTTCATTTTCTCACTTCTATTTCACTTTTGTTTTATTATATTATTTTTATATGCTTGTTAGTTCAGTGAATGTTTAAACTACCAGATTTTCACTTTCGACTCGTATATATTTTATCTATTTTGTAAATAAATAACGTGAACTTTAATATACTGCTCGAATGCTCATGATTGATATTTGTATGTTCCACTTGAAATGAGCGTAGCAGAATAATTTTCTTTTCTTCTTTCTTAGGTTAACTCCTAAGATATGTGTTCTTTGGTTTATCTCATGGAAAAAGTAATATATTAAAAGAAGTGTGGTGCAGTTTACAAACTCTAGTGGAAATTTTGGTTTTGGTTCTAAGCTAAAATATAGGAGTAATTGACTTTGTCTTTGAAGATTAGGCTTAATACTAATGCTTCAGTTATTTTTCTTTTGATGAAATCTTGATTGTATTCTACTGCCATGGAGTGGAATGTGTTGAAGAACATTGTAGCTTGCTTTACGCGCGCTATAATAAAATCATCATAGCTACGGGTATGGTTCCCGTGACGTAGTTGTGATACTTAGTTCCTAATTAGTTAAATATGAATATCCGTAGTTCGTTTAGTTGAATGCTTTTCCTTTAGAATTTGAGGCGTGCCATTTAGTTGAACTTTCATGACCCTCGCAAATATTTCAAATGCGTAGTTGCTTTAGGCGCGTAACTTAAACTACTTTCCTAAACTCGGGTGCGCATTTATGTGACCCAAATCCAAATCTCAACAACGTTAGATAAAATATGTTACGAACTGCGGGTGCATTTATGTGACGTGGTTCAAGACGTATTTTAACAGACGTTACAATCTTCCTTAAAAATTAATTAAAAGCAGTTAATAATTTAAAATTATACCATAGGCTAAAACATGTTTAAAATCAGATAATAGGCCAATTATAACAGTTGAGCGACCGTGCTAGAACCACGGAACTCGGGAATGCCTAACACCTTCTCCCGGGTTAACAGAATTCCTTACTCGAATTTCTGGTTCGCGGACTGTAATACAGAGTCAATCTTTTCCTTGATTCGGGATTTGAACCGGTGACTTGGGACACCATAAATTATCTCAAGTGACGATTCTGAATTTAATAAATAAATAATCCCGTTTCGATTATCACTTTAAGTTGGAAAAAACTCCCTTATATACTCCCTTCTCGGGGGTGTAGGAAATAGGAGGTGTGACAGCTCTGGCGACTCTGCTGGGGATCGAACGCAGAATCTCTGGTTCAGGGTTCAGATTTCAAGCTTAGATGAATTGTTGTATTTGACTTTATCTGTTATCTGATTAAATGCTTGGGCCTAATGTGTTAAATGATGCTTTTACCGCTTTGATATTATCTGAACTGTATATAAACTGCTACGAAACCCTCCTCTTCTCATCTTCGGGGATGTGTTCGCTGGTCGAGACACCCTATTCTGTTAGTGTCATACCTTGAAATAAGAAAGAGGCTCGGACAAGTTACTAAGTCGGATGGACTTTTGGTTCCCGGTACGTAGCCCCCTCCTCGGCTCGAGTCCGCTCGGGTACACCGTCTAGCACACATACCCATGTTTTTGAACCTAGAATAACTCAGCCTCATGCCGGATCCCTAGTAGGCACGTTTGTTTGCATCATGTGCATTTGACTTTGGGGACTCAACACAGGGGTTGGGTCCATCTAGGACAAGTGTACCCAAAATAACAGACTATCTTGGTGCATCCTATGTGCTACATGTTGCATTTCTTCAAGGGTAAAAGAGTCATTTGGCGGACCAATGATAATTGAGGGCGAATGAAAAAAAAAGAAAAAAAAAGAGAGGCTGAAGTGTGAGGATGAAGCGAGTAGGACCCAATTATATTTTTGTTACATTTTATTAAGGAAAAAAGAGCATGGAAACTTCAAAAAGATTTTGCACTTTTTATCATTTTTCAAAATAAAAAAATCAGAAAAAAAAGAAAGAAAATCCAAAAAGATTTTATATGTTTCATCATTTTTCGAAAAAAAAAGAAAAAAATGTGTTTTCTATATGTCAGTTGTTTTTTTATTATTCTCGCCCGTATCCAATCTGCCCGAACTACGCATACCTGATTCTCGTCTTTCGGGACCTGATGCGTAGGCAACCCACATAGGGTCCGGTCTTCCTAGTAAATCTTAGGTTCTTGGTTTTGCGGGGTCATAGCCAAATTTTGCACTTCTAGCCACCTTTTGGCCAAATAAGCCATTTTGCAAAAATAGCCTCAATCATATCTTGCATGTGTCTTAGGGAATATTATTTTCTCACATAGTGCTAGTTTATGTTTTCTCATACAGGTGTGGATCTACTTACTTGAGTTTGAGCATGACAGATACCCCAAGATCACAACATTCAGGAGCTGCTCGATGAGCCATTTTATGTTTTTGAGTCAATTGTTTTTGTTTTATTTTCTAGTCCTGTATAGTAGTATTTAGTCTTTTAGGTGATGTTAGATATTGTAATAGTCAGGTTAAGTTTGCCGAGTCTTTTGTTATTGTATTTCTTATTTTGTATGTGGAAATGTGTTACAAGTCGAAAATCCAGGAAAAAAGAAGAAATTTTGCGTTTTTGTTATAAGAAATAAAAACAATTCTCCTTTGAGATTGTTTTTCCTTTAGACAATTAATATCTAGGACTTAAAATGAATTATTTTTATATTTCCTCTACTATATTAGGA